GGGGAAACCGAAGTACTGGGAGAAAACCTGCCCCAGTGCCACTTTGTCCACCACAAATCCCACTTAACCAGACCTGGGATCGAACCCGAGCCGCCGCGGTGGGAAGCCAGCGACTAACCGCTTGAGCTATGGCGCGGCCGCGTTTATATCTTACATGTAGAATAGTGTTGAAATTTTAACCACAGTTTGAACTAACATTCAGCTTTCGCTCTGTATATGTGTATTTTTCGAAATACTAGTTACACTTGCTCTTACTTACTCATGGAGCTGAGCCCTTCTGGAGGAGCCGCCAATTCTACAGCTACTCAAGAATATTCCAGAATTTAATGGAACCCGAAGGTTCATTACCGTGCTCACAAGAGCCCTCCACTGGTCCCTATCCTTCGCCAGATCAATCCAATCCATACCATCCCATCCTATCTCTCTAAGATCAATTTTAATACTGTCCACCCACCTAGGCCTTGGTCTTTCCAATGGTCCCTTTCCTTCTGGCTTTCCCACCAATGTCCTATACGCATTTCTCGTCTCACCCATTCGTGCTACATGCCCTTCCAACCTCATCCTCCTTATTAGTTACACAGTTTGGAAATCTATTTCATTTGGGAAGTGCAGTGGGAGAATGAGATTCCATACAAGTTTCGCTGATAATATCGAAATGTAGACTCACTGCTCATGAGTCTGAATGGTACAGATCGAACTGCTCCCAGTAAGAGGTTTGAGCTCGAAAGGTTGGGCGTTTGTTCTTGAGGCGATCGATCAGTATATCTCGAAGTTGATATGGCCATATTGAAAGAGACTTTTGGTAATTTTTCTCCGTCCAGGAAGATACAGGTTTATTACCTCATTTTAGGCCACAACAGCTTCCCTCCACATCCTATACAGTATACCATTCGTTAAATCATGGTATAATTCAAAGTTATATAGTAAGAAATATTAGCAGTGTCTTTAAATAAGCAATAAATATATATATATAAACAAACAAATAAAATGGTATCACACAATATATATTTCCAATTGGGTGGGCGGAGGGGGGGGGGTTGGATGCATCTTAAATACCATGTGGCGTCATGGAAGTGCACTTCGAAGTGAGTCAGACGCATGTGCACAAGTTCCAGTTACTATTACTGACCAATCTTCAATTTGTCGTTATTAGCTTTGTAAATTAAAAATTTTCATTTAACTTAATCCGAAATATATCCATATTACACTTGGTCGTCGACTTACGACCACAAAAAAAAAATGAAAAATAAAAGATGATTAAAATATAAAAGTTTTTAAAAATAAATTATAAAGATGATAAAAAGATTAGAAAGGTTAAAAAATACTGTTAATAAATATATGGCCGACATACGACCAGATCGGCTTACGACCTGTCATTCAGAACGGAAGTCGGCCGTAAGTCGACGGCCAAGTGTATTTAGTACTCGTAATAACATATTTTGATTCTGTAAGTATTCTTATGTGCTAATTAGATAACATTTTAGCAATAATCAGCATTTATTTTGTAAGAGGTTTATTAAGACAGTGTTTCACCCGTGTTTCCTTCTTTGCAGGGACACTCCACTCATCGTCCAAGTATTACATTTCGACTGCGGGAAAGGCAGATCTTCCGTATGGGGAAGCCCCTGTCTGATTGCACAAGCTTGTGAATAGTAGACAATCCGTCCGTTAAGAATGCCACGTCACGACCACTGCATTGGTATGTAATAACTGCGTACATGTCCTACATTATGTACACTTGAGAGATCATTTTGCATGGAATATTCTAATATATTGTGTGTCTTCTCCAAGCAGGCCTATCATGGTAATTTCAGTAAAGTTCTTAATGCCGAATGGATCAAATATATGCCAGAAACGGCAAGAGAATTTTAACAGAGTAAATACTACAAAGTTTCAGAGCAAACGATCAGTGATTCTAAGATATCTCATTACTAGCATGCAAGGTCTTAATTAGTTTTGAAGAATTCCGTTTTCTAGGACGGTATTCTTCATAGTCACCACTGTGAAAACCTCAAATCTTGCAATGACACGGTTTTGCCTTCCTGAAAGGTAGAAAAAATATTGTGGAAATGTGCTGGAAACCAGGACAGACCGTGGTTACTAGGTAAAGGCACAAAAATAATGATGCAACAATAGAACACGTATAATAGATGAGAGTGGCGCTGCGAGCGGCGTTTCCTGCGCTGCTCCTTCAATATCTACTTTATGTAATAGTAGAAGTACTAGTGCAAGCAGTGTTTAATATTCCTGTTTAAAAAATGAGCGATTAAGCTCTAACATTAAACTAACCCTCCATAAAGCACTAATTAATGACTGATGCTTGTCACACCTGGGAATTTGCTGTAGATATTCACCTTTTGAAATTACAGCGCTTGCAAAACAAGGTTCTTTGCGCCAATAGTAAGTTTCTAAGGGCCGCGCCACAGCTCAAGCGGCTAGTAGCTGCCTTCCCATCGTCGCGGCCCGAGTTCGATCCCANATCTACTTTATGTAATAGTAGAAGTACTAGTGCAAGCAGTGTTTAATATTCCTGTTTAAAAAATGAGCGATTAAGCTCTAACATTAAACTAACCCTCCATAAAGCACTAATTAATGACTAATGCTTCTCACACCTGGGAATTTGCTGTAGATATTTACCTTTTGAAATTACAGCGCTTGCAAAACAAGGTTCTTTGCTCCAATAGTAAGTTTCTAAGGGCCGCGCCACAGCTCAAGCGGCTACTAGCTGCCTTCCCATCGTCGCGGCCCGAGTTCGATCCCACGTCTGGTCAAGTTGGATTTGTGGTGGACAAAGTGGCGCTGGGGCAGGTTTTCTCCGAGTACTTCTGTTTCCCCTGCCAATCTTCATTCCACCAATTGCTCCACAATCACCCTCACCTATCATCTGGGGCTGGTACAATAGGCCAGAAGTGGCCGCAGTACAAGGGACTTACTCCCACCCCCTAGCAATAAAAAAATACTCTTAAAGTATCGAACCGAACAAAGCGTGAAAGATGAATTAGTTTATAAGAAATAAAATGTATCATCATCATCATTTTTGGTAAAATAACTCTATTTGAATCATATCCTTTCCTAAGAAGATTCTGTCTGTTGACACTCCTCTGGATTCTCTTCTTGAGCCCCAAAAGCGGCTTGACACGAAGACAGACCGACCGGCTGACTGTTGGTCGTAACATAAATTTGACTTCGACTTCAAGCGAGTCAGTTCTTGAGGCCTCGGTTAGCGAGTGCTGTTCATGAGCCATATGGGCGTGAGAAATGTCCCTTGTTGGAAGACCGTAACCAGGTAACGACTACTGGAGGCTGTGACAAGCTGAGAACAGTCTGGATAATGGTGATTTGTGCTCCGTTAATCCTATTATCCATCTAAACCCCCATCTGTAGTCACTGTATCACTTGATAATATTTCCAAGACACATTAAAGCCCTATGTTCTTATTCTTAGATTACCACAGTATCCCTTTACATGAGTCAGTGTGCATGTGTTTGTTCTCGTATAATAAGTTATAAACTTGCCGAAGGATGGATTGTAGCGAGAAATGTTACTTATATCGTGCTCTGGAGGCAAGGGTACATTTGCGTGTTTCAACTGCCTTCAGTTAATAATGTTATGACATTTATAGCAGTGCAGACTCTGTTTTGAAATACAGAAGGACTAATTTAGCTTCCCGATAAAATACTAATATTGTTTACAGTGGTGTTCTATCATGTGGCATTTCAATTCCTTACCTGACGCACTATCTGCGTCGTGCCATTATAATTCGAGTGTTTAGCTAAAGGACACACAAATAACTACTTCATAATTCCATTCTACAAAGTGTTTCACATCAGCATAATTAAAGGACGACAGAATTTTAAGCCACTTATTCTAAAACAAAGCCGATGTGTATGTACGTATAAAAAAAGTAAGTAAAAACTAAAAGTATCCCTGCAACAGGCCGTGGAGGCCCATAGGGTTGTGAGATGTTGAGGTTCCCACATTTTCTAGACAATCGGCTCATAGATGGCGGCAAGGCTGTCAGGCCTCTCTTTACCCCAAGAATATTCCTGGTACTCATTTCTGTTAGAGGCTGAGTCGACCCCAGGGCCATAGTACGGCTGGGAGGATTATGTAAATTGAAAAAAAATCCAATGCCCTCATCGGGACTTGAACCCGCGACCTTCCAGCTTGTAGCATAAACAGTTCCATTCTGCATGGAGTTCTTCGAAGTAATGAAAATGAAGGGCGTGCCACAGAATGGTGACGGTAAGCAACGTGCAGATTAGGGATTGGCTCAGTATGAAACCTCGGAATGTTCTCTGAATGCTAGGATATAGAATAGTTCATATGTGGAAATGTAAATTATTCAGGATGGAAAAGGGACAGGCCTTTGTAGTTAAGTCACTACATGGAAAAGAGCCAGGATACCTCAACCGGTATAGAAGCTGGACTACAGGTTAAACCACCCTAGAATCGGAGTTCGATTTCCTGGTGTGTAGGCGCAAAGCTGACACCCATCTCCATCCGGTTCGAGGTTACAAATGCATGAAGCTGTAAGTCCACTTGTGCTCAGCGTAATTCGCTTAGCGGGAGGTGGAATCCAACTGGGTCCGCTCGGCACGGCGGCCACAGACTGGCTTATTGCAGCCTACCCCGGGTGATAATGATGATGGAGAATTTGGTGGAATGAAGATTGGAAGGGGAAACCGAAGTACTCGGAGAAAACCCGCCCAGCGCCACTTTGTCCACCACAAATCCCACTTGACCAGACCCGGGATCGAACCCGGGCCGCCGCGGTGGGAAGCCAGCGGCTAGCCGCTTGAGCTATGGCGCGGCCTTAATGGACAGGGTAAATTTTACCTTAACTTAAGGAAAGTAAGTGCTTGAAATAAACATTTAATACATCAATCTCTAGATGTGTTTACAAGGTGCCGACATATTGATGTATAATTTCAAGTTTCGTGATTCTTCACAAGAAAATGTTTGATGTCGACATAGATTTAAGTGCACTTAGAACTGTGCCGAAATAAAATTTAAAAGCTCCCCATTGGCGCTAATATTGTTCCCCTCCTAAAGAATTTCTCATTTCCATCGTGCTGATATTGTAATATGGCGCCTGAAAGTCAAAATAGTTCATTGCTAGGCAACGGCTCAGTAAATATATTCCCGTGGAAGCGCACGCTCAACAGTAGAAGAGTGGTGATTTCTGTGGACCCGCGTCGCGCTCGTTGCTACGCAACTGTGTTGTAAACAAATCTCTGCATAATCTGCTTTACTGAGCCTAGACTGACAGAGGCCTTGTATATACACGTATTATACATACTAGATATTAAGACTCAATTGTAAATAAATGTACATAATGACAATGGACTAATACTGTCAACTATAACTGACAAATGACAGACCCGACCTCTCGTCAGAGAGGTCGCCCCACATGGACAGGACAGTAAGTTTCATCTAAAAAGAAGCATCTGGTCATGAGCCCCAGTCGGAGCTCGACACGAAGACAGACAGACTGACTGACCGTCAGTGGCATTGTGACTTTGACTTTGAATTAGACTTGACTAGGACTGGATGATACGTAAGATAGACATGACCTGCTTTGCAATGCCAGTACTGACAGAGGGCTTGTGTGTAGTGTAAAAGGAAGAATTTTTAGTGACGTACTATATGCGTGAAATGTACATTAGACGAAAGGCGGAGCATATTCATTAGATACAGGCCCATCTTCTGGTTAGGGAGAATGTGACATAAGGTCTATTACCGCAACAGTTCAGTTGGGAAAGAAACTCTGGTCGTAGTTCTCAAGGGGATTGACGCCAAGACGAACTGATTGGCTGTAAACTGACAGCCGTAAAGTAACTTGGGCTTTCTTTTACTAGAGGTAGAACTGAGTTGGGTTCCGAGACCCCAGCCTGCCGGGATATGAGCTTTAGAGCAGAGAAATTGAATTCAGGAGTTGAGGTATCAGAATTATTAAGCGCAGTTCATTTGGGACTTTGAAGAAAAGACTTCGCGTGTGCTGGAGTGTGTAATTCGGTGAGACTGTTCTAGTCCCTGTGTTAAAATCCTTTGCCAGGAAACGGATAGTGGAGACTGTGATAGACTGACGATACTAGTGTGTGTAACAGTGAAATGTAAAGTGTGGATATAGCGACAGCGCTGTAATTAATTGCGTCGCCTGCATCTCAATAGTCGAACTGTAAGCCAAGCAAGAAACCAGCTTGAAGCTCACAACGAGGAGGCCTCTTGAAGCTGCTTCGTCTCCGAAACTATTTAATTCATTTATATTAAACTTTGTGTTGGCTATGCACTAAAAGTTATTGTAGCATGTGCTCTGAAAGCCGGAACAGTTTAACCTGAAGAGTTATTCGTGTAAAGTGTGATGTAACAATGGATCACGAAATGTAAGGCCAGAGTAGCAAAAGTTATGCATGCAACAATAGAAGAACTTCCGGGAGCAACGTCTTCTGTGTGGTCTGTTCCGGTGGCTACGTGCCTGTGTAGTATTGCAGCTGCAAGAGAAGATGCTTTCTACTGGGTCCATCCCGAGGCTATATTATGACGACCTTAGAAAATATAAGAAGCTTATACTTGGCGATGGTCAAGCTTACGAACGTTCAAGTGACTCAGCTGCCGTTGTAGCATAAGTTACGTAAGATAGGCATGATGTGCTCTAAAAAATCAGTACTGATAGAGTGCTTGTGTGCAATGTAGAAGGAAGAATTTTTAATAACGTAGAGTATGTGCGAAATATACACTAGACGAGAGGCCACGCATACCGATGAGGGACAAGCTCATATTCTCGTCAGAGAGGACGTTACATGAGGATTATTACCGCAAGAGTTGAGCTGAAAATTAACTAATAACGTAGAGTATGTGCGAAATATACACTAGACGAGAGGCCACGCATACCGATGAGGGACAAGCTCATATTCTCGTCAGAGAGGATGTTACATGAGGATTATTACCGCAAGAGTTGAGCTGAAAATTAACTCTGGTCGAGGGTTTCTAGGGGCTTGGAACCAAGATGAATTGAGTGGAGATAAACCGCCAGTCGTAAAGTAACTTTGACTTTGACGTGAAGCGAACCAGTCTACAGAAAGTCTGCACGCAGACAGACCAGTCCTAATCTGAGGTTGGTGTGAGACACTCGCCCCTGATGGAGGTGAGCGAGGCAGAGGATCCACCATTTTGTAAGTCGTTGCGTAACAACGTCGAGTTAGTTGGTGAGATACTCTCCGGCCAGTGAGGACATGAGAAAGGAAGGTGAGGATTCTATGGAGTTGCAAACCGTCACCAAACAACCAGTCAAGACACAGCAGACTGGGAAGTTAGTGCTTGCTGTGATGGACTATAGTGTGTGTGAATTAGCGATAGAGCTCTATTTACCAGTAATTACGGTTGTAAGAGTCCAGTAAATGCGATTATCAATCAAAACTCGGTCTATAGTAAATAAATCATGCGACAGTACAGAATAAATTAAGTCTTAAATTTATAGGAAGCTCATATAGCCATTTATCAATATTCTCAAAAATATATCATCATATAAAAATCCGTATATGACATGATATATATATAAATTTAGTGAACGTTTGCCGAAATGGGACGAATAATACTTTCCAACTTTCTGGAGTGCGAGGACACATCACAAGACACAGTATACACAAAATAGAGGAAGAACTTTTCCCATAGCGGAAGATTGATAGAATACGCGAGTTTCAAATACGACGTATAAGATGATAAATCTTAACAAATTTTAATATATAAATTTTATTATAATACATGACGAACATACATTTTAAATCATTTTATAAACGACACATGATGGCGAGCACTGCAATAGTTTAACGTGAATAACACACCTGAGGATGGCACAGTGATGCCGAAACCAGTAGCGAAGTGACAAGTGAGATTGTGTGCACTAGAAGACGGTCAATACATACACATCATGGACGCGAATCAGTGTAACAGGACGCTAAAATACAAATTTTTTGAAAGAATGAATATAAATATTCAGCATTTTCATGTTCTCTGTTATTCATTCTATAGTGGGACAAAATAATCCGTATAAATACTTTGGAATACTAAAATATATAAAAACGTAATTGTGTAGTTTAATGTTACATCCAAACCTTAGCAGGTCTTTCATAATATTTTGGCTACCTGTAAAATCGCCTACTTATGAGATGATGAACTTTGGAAAACATCTGCTTAGTCTTACAATCTAGCATTGCATCATTAGATTTGTGCGTGCAGTAAACAAATATCTAGCCGGTCTCGGTAGCCGAGCGGTCTAAGGCATCACTGTCTTCGCTCGCTCGGAAGCTTGGATCGTGGGTTCGAATTCAACTCAGGGCAGGAATGTTTAGTGTTTGTGTGTGTGCGCTTTTCTCTCTCCTTTCTCTCCTTTGCCTTGCGAAGAGCTGATCCCCCGCCTAAAGTGTCCTACCAAATGCCTAAGATCTGAGGTAGGCCAAGGCCCAATTTGAGGCTGTAGCGCCAAAGAAAAAAAAACAAATATCTGGCAAGGAGAACATTAGCGAAAGGTGTTCTGTAGAACATGTAAGATCTAGTACAGAGATATGTACCACAGAAGCAAGATGGAGACTGTCCACTAAAGTGGAAATTAATAACGACAAACTACGCAGTACATGCAGGAACATTATGGTGTAGATGTCAAATTAATTGTAACCAGAGTCACGGAATTGAAATGCCATTATCTCACTACGTAGCAATCGCAAGCATTAGTCTATCTGGGTGCAAGGAAAAGCAATGACATTAGAGAGCTTAAAGGATTTCATTGTACCATGAGCAATATGATAATAACAGTCTGTCGTACGAGCAGTCATTTGTTTACTTCCTTTTTTACAGATCTCATCTCTGAAAAACAGAACCGAAGACCGTCTGAAGTTTACTTCCTGCTTCGTTATACATAATTTGAGTTAATTTCTTTGAATATCAGCTTCGATTTATCCAGTTAAGTGACTGTACTTATTAACGAAATTCAGGGAAGAAAGAGGGCGAGTGCGTCCATAAATAATAAACGTTAAGTCTCACAGAAATAAGGTTAAGATGTAAACAAAATCTTGGGCTTAACTAGTTCAGATTATAGTGAAATAAAGCATAAAGCATTTACTGGCTTTCAGTGAGTTTGGAATGATTTAATTTCCAAAGTTACTATTAATTATTAGCTTTGTCAGCAAAATGTAATGCATAGAAATATTTCTACAAATGATACAAAGTGACAGAGTATAATGGATTCTGACGATGCTGGATAACACACAGAATTATTAAGATTCTGTGTGTTATCCACCTAAGAACCAATCTCAATTAGCTCTCTCTAAGGGACCAAACAGAGCAGGTGTCACCCAGTCACCTGAGAATGGAAACAGGTCCAGTTTCCGTAATGTTGTGTTCTCTAGTCTTTAGAATATCGGTCGATGAACAAAGTCCAAAAACCCAGTAATTCTAAGTGACTATTAATATGTCTGTGTTTAGTAAAATGTATTTTCTAATTTATCAGCCAATTCTAAAACTACACTAAAACCCGTTAATATTGAGAAGCATTTCTGAGATTTTCGTTGCGATCTGTGATCGTTGTAGAATCTTCTAAGCATTGCAATATGTCGAAATCTGCCAGTTTCTATACATGGCAACCGCTTGATATCCAGAATTAATTTTGTTTAATCGAATCTTACGGAAGCTATTCTTTTATCATAACATTTCATTTATCATTGTGAAAATAAATGTATTGGTGTTTTTATGTTTTTGACGTGTAATTGAAATTATGAATAAAGCAACATCACTCAAGTCAGGGAAATACTAGGGGATTTCTGTAGCATTATGTTTACTGGGCTGCTGGCTACAGGTTGTTATGTATCCGGAAGGACCTGCTACCATTCCCCTCCACGCTGTCTTCAAGCAAATGACGATATGCTGCATAACTTCAAAATTTCTGTTGAATTCGTTCCATTCAGCCCCCTCTCTCGGTTTAAATTAATCAAATTCAGACCCGTTGTTATGAAGGTCACCAAACTATCCTCTAGAATTCCCAAATTATGCAACGTACCGTCAAAATTCCGTTAACCTTGTCTCGACACACCACTTCTCACAAATGTGGGCCCTCACTGTCCGTCCATCTTCACCAGAAGGTCGAGGGAGCGGAGCCTGCAAAAGTTTCTGACAAAGAAATGATCTTGCCAAGCCGATCACAGTGGCCGCGCCGTTTAAGGTATGAACTGTCTTCGCCCGCTCAAACATTGAGATAGTGGGTTCGAATCTCACTTGAAGCATGGATATCTGTGTGCGTTTATTCTGTATTTGTGCTGGCCGTTATGCAGGTATCGGCCTTGCGACGGGCTGATCCCCAGTCCAAGGAGTCTTACAGACTGTATTAAAGATCAAGAAACTGAAAAAGCTGCCAAGGTCCGATGAAAAGGACTGTGGAGCCATAGACAATAATCTTGCACCGGTTCTCACCATTCTAACGCCTCCGCTTCCATAGCACTTTTACCGGAAGGATCAGTGAACGAAGCTAAGGGTTTCCTAAAAGTAACGCTTTTTCTCCCTCCCAAGAAGAAAATATCTGAAGAAAGCAGTCTTCTGGAATTTGGCACCGTGTATGTGTGGTGTTAACCGACGTTTCGGAGGAACGTATCGCCTCCATCTTCAGGGTAGAAGGAAAAATATAAGAAATCCGCAAGCGAAGAGACCGTGAGAACCGGTATTTCCAACACCAGTCTGCTTTTACCGGTTCTCACGGTCTCTTCGCTTGCGGATTTCTTATATTTTTCCTTCTGCCCTGAAGATGGAGGCGATACGTTCCTCCGAAACGTCGGTTAACACCACATATACACGGTGCCAAATCCCAGAAGACTGCTTTCTTAATAGTCGCCGCCGTGAAAGCCTCAAATCTTACAAGAAAATATCTCTTACCACGGCCACGAAATTTCCTTTTGCCTACTCTTTTAGTATTAATCCTTACCTCTATCTCTGTCTCTTTCTCTCCTCCCCCTTCTCTCTCTCCCTCACTTCATATCTAACCTCACGTGAATAGGCAAATATCATGGTCACCTTGTACAGAGAACAACATACAAAAACATGGATAATCCCGAACACGGTGGACCTAATGACGCATTCATCTCATCAACTCGCATAATTGCAGTTCCAGTATCATTGATGGTAAGAAATTAGAAGGTACAAAGGCGTCATGATGTCTGGAGTTTCGTCCGTTTGTTCTAATTTATTATCTACTGCTATTACGAACCTACTTTTCTTCATAAGAGTTGGGGAAAAAAACTGAGCTCAGAATATCCATATAATAATCACAACAAAACGCCATATTACGCCATATAAGAACGTACAAAATGTTTACTGAGAATTAAAGCTGACATTGCCTAGGGTTTCTGTACCCTCTGTGAAAGTGCCTTCGAACCACGTTGTTTTCCGGTTGCGCATCTGTGCCCAAAAATTTATTTTGAGAATCTTATGGTTCTTACGGCCGTTAACAGAAGGTGTCCGATCTTGCGTTAAGTTATGACTCGTGTTTTGCTCCATATCTACCAAACTTCGCGATCTCACATCCCAGTAGTTCGTATTATTTATCTTAACATTTACTTGTGTTCCAGAAGTTGTTTCAAGCTCTCTTAAAAAGTGGAGCAAAAGGTGAAGCTTTTCGTGCGACAGCACAATGGATTTCATTGTCACCAGGCCTTTTAAAAGGTAAAGCTGTCCCTTTCCTTAACTAACTAAGCACTACGCCATGAAGGCGTATGGGGGAGTGGATGTATAGGTCCACGTTTTCTTGACCTCGACAATAGTTTGAGGTGAATTATCAGCTTCACACCCCGGCAGCTTTATCCGCGGTAAGTCCGCCATACCCATTGGATAAGAGATTGGGTGGACCCCAGATCTGGTCTGGACGATATGGAGAAGTTAAAAATCTTGCCCCTACCGGGACTTGAACTCCGACCCCTCGGTCGTCTAGCCCGTAGCCCGTCGCTATACCGACTGCGTTGTCCCGGCTCCTCACCAAGCCCCGTTCAGTCTGTTATATACATCGTTATATATTGATGTAATATGTCTGGAAAGCCCAAATCTGGGGAAAAGCTTTCAGCTGATTTCATAGGAGCTCTCCAGATGTCATAAAAATGAAACAGTTCAACTTCAGCAATACTAAATACATACGAGTATTATAATGCTCATGCTCACGGCTGTTGCTCGGTATCTCAACTGTACGTTTATAAGTACGGCTTCAGAATATACGTACAACATGAAGAGGCATTACACAAATAGTCAGACTTGAAATTAATAGTTATTTTGTTCGTGCAAGACGCCTATGTGTGTGTGTAAAGGCTGGGCCATAAAAACCGGCCCTCGCACCGCGACCTTCAATGACCTATTGTGCTTCCCCTTTGGATTAGCTCTTTATTAATCCTACACTTCGAATGAAATGAAGGACTTTATTTATGGGGGCGTCATAAAAGTCACTTGGTTCCATGAAGAACTGGCCCAGGTGGCGATATCTTAGGTAAGCTATAGCCTCACAGTCACATAATGCATGGCGCCTACCTCGTGCCTAAATACTGTATATGTATGATGTATTGTNGCTATATAGCGATATCATCGCGTACAAGGAAGAGAAAAGTTGCCACGGTGTGTTTTGCGGAGAAGTTGCTCCTGAGCTCTGATGTGTATAACCGATGAACGAACCGTTCTCATGTTGCAAAAAAAGGAAAGGCACAGGATGCAGCATTCTGATAAAGAATGACTTAAAAAGTTCTAAAATGTAATTCACTACCTATGACTGTTCGAACGGAAGCCATATATGCACAGCGTTTGTGTGGTTTAGTTGCAATTACAAGTACAGTGGAACCTTGGTAATCCGAACCCACTTGCAGCATGTGTATGTGTATACATACACACACATACAGTATGTAACTGAAAGGTGCGGGCAAACGTTTGGCACTAGTTCGACATACCAGAACAATAAAACATATCCATCTGAACATATGTCTGGAAACATTCAATTTGTGAGTTACAGCTTTAGGAATACTGCACATGCGCGATGGTGCTCAGGCACATTTTAGCCGTGCTGAGGGAGATGTTCTCAGTAACGCCTATCATGACGGATGGATACGTAGCGGAGGGACACTGCACGGCCTCCACGCTCTCCAGATTGGAATCCTGCAGAGATATCTAAAAGCCCTTGTGTATGCAGCTCCTGTTGACAACGAAGAGGCGTTTTGCCATCGCACTGAGGATACTTATCGGACTATCCGCAACTGCCCCGGGATCTTTTAACGGATGCGGCGGTCCATGATGAGACGTGTCGAGGCGTGCATTGAATCTCATGGAGGGCATTTTGAGCATCTTTATAAGTGTACCCTTTCAGCTGTAGATTACAAAGTAAATGTTTCCGGACACATGCTGATATGGATATATCTTCTCGTTCGATACGTGAACCCGTGCCCAAAATTCGTCCACACCTTTCAGTCACATTCAGTACAGGCCTACCACAAGTTGAAAGGTCACGAGCTAGACGGAAAGGAAACACAGATACAAAAACGCTTTCGATGTCCCATGCTTAACAGTTGCTCTTTTTGTACCCAGCTAAACGAGTAACTCCATGGAAGAAAGTTCTTGAGAGGCTATTATCCACCAAATTAGTCGTGAAATTCTATTTTTGTAGTTCAACATACAAGCCTCATTAATACTTTCAAAAGAGGTAGCCACGTAACGCTGGTCTGAGCCAGTTCAGTTCTGTTAGGAACCTTGAACACTTTCTGTACAAAATTAAAAAACACTGTACTACTGCCTACGTCCAGGTTTTCTTTACTGGTCTCTTCCATTTAGGCGTTATAGTTAAAATGTCGGCCTGTTCGCCGTCCCAGCCAATCTGCTGTCCCCTTCTTTGGAGCGCGCTTACATAACCCAACAGATTCCTGGCCGTTTATCGCGAAATATTGGAACCTACCTACCACGAACAGGCATTTGTTTAATTGCTTATTTTGCGACATTGTCAGCAGCGAGATTATACAGGACCAGGTGACAGGATGAATAATGGCTGGTGAATAGGAAGTAATTTGGAAGGAAACGGTTGTGACCTAATTCACTTAATCTCTCGGTATTTGCCTGGAGCGATCGAGGAATATTACGAAAACCTCAGTCAGAGTACCCAGTGTCCGGACCGAGATATGAACCAAGCAACTTCCGAATGCAAGTCTGCAGTATGACCGCTGGTCCAGCTTGTTCAGTACAGCACGAATTGCGAAGATGCATGTTGCTACAAGAAATTTGCTGTAACCTTAAAAAATCAGTGGATATATGCAATGCGCTAAGAAATATTTACAAATTTATCTCTATAGGTTTTAGATTTAGCAAATTTTTAAATTTGAAAGAAATAGTTT